ATTCAGAAATGTGCTCTGTGGGGATGTATATCGACGTGACAAGGAAAGTATATTGACATGGGCTTTAGTTTTGTGGAAAGGAGAGAAAGGCAAGAATACAGACTCTGATTTTTTTGTGTGACAATTATAGTCACCTGGGGCCCTGCTACACTACCTGAGTGGAATATCTGCAGGGAACTTCTGTGAAGGTTGAAAGTTTGAAACTAATGTTTCCCGTTTACACAGGTATAGCTACATGTAACATTGTTTTCAAAGTGGATAAAAATATCCACTAGCACAGGAACAGAACGGGTCCAAAAAAAGATGGAAATTATTTTAATATGATTGATTTGTTTGGTTTTATAATGACGAGAATATCTGCCATAGGCAGAAGGATTATTGCAGAAGCAATTCATTTAGCATTTATAAAGGGCTTTTTGCTCTTAATTTCTTTTATATTTTATGACTTGACCAATACAGCATAAAAACCCACTTCTCATAAATGCAGACTTCTTCAGAAAACATTACCTTAGCTAATGCAAAGGGAGTTGACAAAGCAGCCAAGGATGCAGCCCTCCAGACAGACGAGCCCGAATCAGTTGCCTTCTCCAGGCATCTTGGTCCATCAGATCAAGCCGGGATCAAATTGCCAATCAAAGGGCTCAGAGATCGAATTGCCAGTCCATGTCCACGACTGACAAGCATGTTTCATTTTGTTTACCTGTGAATGGATGCTACCTCCTACAATAATCACAGGGCAAGTAGCCTTCATAAATGATGGCATGTTTTCTTTTTACGTGTTTGCTTATTTGAAAAAAGCATATGGAGTAGTAATGCTCCCAGAGCTGTGTGGGAAAGCAGAGCAGAGCTGCTGCTGCATAGTTTAAGAGTTAAGTCCTGAGGAGATGAAAATAGAAAGCCTGATTGCTGGTTGTCTCATCAGCCCTTGTGAAAAGCAGCTGACAGTGTTCATGTTTGGAAGAGGAAAGGAAATTGGAAATCCATTACATATCTCCTGGTATTTCAGTTACAAGAACATACGTGTCTGCAGTTCGGAAAATACAGGGAGGCTAAGATGCTGAAGCCACAACTCAGAAATGTCCATTGTCACACACTAGCAGAATACTAAACTGGTTAAGAAAAAAACAGCTTTGTTTCTTCAAACTCAGTTCGTGGTAATAGTAAATAGGACTTCCAAAGCTAGTTGGGGTAGCTCTGGGCTTTTTGGCTTTCTGCTTGATTTTTGTTCATGACTGAATGCTGAAATTTGGATTTGACATCATGAATGTCAACCATCAGACTGGGACTTGAACCCAGAGTAGCTTGCAGAATATCAGTGACCATTTTGATTGTTACAAACACTGCAAAACTGTAACAAAAGCAGTTGGATCTTTCCAAAGAGTGAACAGTGTGGTTGCTGGTTTGACACCCGCACACTTGTCCCTCTCTCACTGTTTCTGTCTTCACACTTTAAACACCCTCACAGAGGTTCAGATCAACTGTTGCACGAGATACCCAACACGTTTCAAGGCCAGAAAGTCACACAAAACCTACAATGGACACTCATCAGGGAAGGCATTTTGGCTGATGGATATTGAGCCACCTCCTGAAATCTACAGTAAAGGCATACAGAAAGATGGTTTTGCAAAACCTGCTATACGTGACACTACATTCTACTCAGCAGGATAAAAGAAGGAAAGTAGGTGGAAAGTACTCTATTCTGACAACAAAAGAACCGTATGCGCTGCCTTTTTTTAATGAGATTTCATTTTTCTGTGCAATCAGCTATTGGTCTTGTGATTCTGTCACTGACATGCACACTGTCATCTGGACTTCAGTGTCGTGCTGTTGCCCAGCATTAGAAATGTCATTTTTTTTTAACATTGTCTTCTGTAACACTATCCATTTATTCATATGGCACTAAGGATGCACAGTTCCCAGAAAATCCTTTTTTTAATTTTTTTTTTTTTTTTTGTAGTATACACGGTGAAAAGCAATATAGGCAGAGATTACAACAAGATCTTATGTCTCTGATAATCCTCCCATGGCTGCTGGTAGGGCTGCATGGCCCCCTTAGGGTATCTTTCAGCCCAGCCAGCCTGCAGCCACCAGAATGGCAGTGGTCCCCTTAGAGACTAGAAGACTCCTTTTTGCTTCCTTGACTTTACTGAAACTAGAGCAAAGCTCCCATATGAACTTCAACACATGAACTTCTTTCTCTCATTCCAGTGCCTTTTCTTCGCATTAAGCTGCACACAAAACTTATCAGACAGATTTAACAATTTGAGGAAGTTGAAGAGAGAACAAAAAACATTCGAGACCATAAAGAGACAAAGAAACATTAGATGACGATCTGTGTTCCAATTTAGGGGAGCTTTTCCATCAGCTACCCTCAGAGAACTTGCAATGCACTTTCTCTTGCTTTTGCAGAATTGGTCTGCTTTGCCTTCAGAGTGAATGTGGCAATTTTCCAAGCCAAACTTACAGGGGAGATGAAACAAATCACTCTAATGTTTGGCTGGTAGGAATCCAAGAAGTAGAGAAACTACCTCCTTTCTAGAAAGTCTTGTAAAAAATGGCTCGATTTACTTAATCTTTTTGACTCACTAATGTTTCTGCTTGAGTCAACAGTTTGCAAGCCATAAACATTGAGACAAATAATGAAGTAATCATGCAATTAGGACTCAATTACTTATGCTGTACGTTTTGCTTGTTTTTCCCCCACATAAGAAGAAATAAATATTGTGTCTTTTTGTCTCCTCTGGTTCTAGTTTATGGCTTGAATTATGTGAAATCCAGAAAGTTCATTCTCCTGATTTTGCCTTTGTAGAGTTATCTAGGCTGTGGTCCTTCATGAGGCAGTTAGGGTGCATGGTACATTTTACTAGTTGCCATCTGCACATGGACAAGTGAGGAGCGGGAGGATGCAGAAAGGATGAGCTGTAGCTTCTTTCCCTCTCCAAAATTTAAGGCGGTCTAGTGGGACAAGGAGCAATGATGGACAAATTGCAGCTTTTAATCTCTGTGCACTCCTGTGGCAATTCAAATGCAACCGTTGGGCCAAGGCTGTGCCATGTGGTTATCAAGGGCAGAGGCTGGGTAACCTGCATCGCTGGCTGTGGGAAGAAGTGACCCAGCAGATGCTGCTGGGTTCAGCCTGGCAGAGAGAGTTGCTTTGGGACACCACGTCATGCCCACCCTGGTTCCACAACGGAACTCTTCAGCCATCATTGTGTCCCTCCTGTGACCTACTCCTTGTGCCTCCCTCTGCTCTCTGCTCTCACACCACATGTGAGATGCAACATGCATGCACGTGTACCTCATGCTGCTTGGCTATGTGAAGATATTGGGCAGCGGTTTGTAAGCTCAGAAATTTTGAGCAGTTCTACTGCAAGGCTTTGGCAAAGGGGAAAACAAAGAAGAAGTCCTGGCTTGAAGGTGCCATGTAGTGCCATCTTAAAGTACAGCTTTGTGGGTCTCCAGGCCCAGGTTGAAAGGAATCTGTTGATCACTCAGTCAGTGGGCTGCCAGAAGTCCCACGTCTTAAATAACTTCCTGTAATAGATAGAAGCTTGGGTTGTGTGTCCCGTATGGGAAGCATTCAGTACATGGGCTTTTTTGTAGTTCCATGGAGACCTGCCATTTTTTCCCAGGTGCCTACAGCATAGATGCAGCAGTTAACATGAACGTCAGCTAAACGATGCAGCTGTTCGGTCTGGTGGCTGGAGACCAAAGACTCACATGTGCCCACTGCATAGTCACTTTACACCTGTTTGATTAGGACTGTGACAGAGCTTGCTACTTCAAATCTTGTCTGTTTTCCATTGTGGAGTCCCAGGCACATCTATGCTGAGTGTCTCATAAATGCCCTCAGGCGGTATGATGTCCACCTCAATGCTCTTCTCAAGGCTGTGTGTAACAGGCTCCTAACAAGGACCTTTCAGTCTGTCTGGAGTTCAGGATGCAAGCTTCTTTTGGGTGAAACAGAGACTTCTCTCTTAGTGGTCAATCACATTTTTCCTCTTGAGCTATTTGCCACTGAAAGTACTTCATCTGTCTGCTTTTCACAGCAGCAGTGCCGCTGGTTTGTTTCTGAGTGGATAGAGCTAGACCTGAGGTGCCAGAATAATCTATTTCTCTCATGACATGCCCAGCATATTAAAATTAAGCAATGGCCGACTTATATTTGCACTTAAATTAGACCATAACAGCACTGTTCTTAAGGGACCCTAATAAGAACTGGAGAACGACATTAAATCAATGGACTTCTTGTTAAAAGAACTAAACTAAAACTCAGATGCTAAGCCCAATGGACTTTGTTCAAACCTGTTAAAATTGACTTTCCATGAAATAATGTTTTCAAGAGAGAGTTTATCTTCAGTTTTTTAAAAGTATCTTTTACATGAATAAACAGAAAAGTAAAACAGAAAGCAAATGTTTTAAAAGAAAAAAAAAGAAAAGGAGAAAAAACACGTTATCATAAATCCCATGCAGTGCAAGAATAGCATGTGGTTTTCTTTCTAGTTTAGTCAACTTTATTGAATATTCTTATTCCATTCTCTTCCAACACAATGCTTTTCTCACTTTATGTTTGATTTGAATTACTCTTCTAGCTGTAAGATCCATACGTGCTGAGATCTCTTCAGTAAAACACCCGGGATCCTGGCTCAGTTTCCTTTCCATCAATATTAATTCTTTCAGTTTCCACACCTTACAGAACAACCTAAATGAGGCAGAATCTCTTCAGTCACAGAGACATCACACCAGAAGCTATGCCCAAAAAACCTTTCCAGAGGGACAAGGGCATATCCTCACCATTCTAGATGAGTTAATGAGGACTCTGCATGAAATCAGCCAGGTTGCTCATTAGAAATCTCCACCACTGTGCCGCTCTCTTTCTCTCTCTGCCTAAATTTGAGACATATCTTTAATTTCCTCCTTGATTGCTTGCTTCCGAGGGTGCTGGTCTGCCTTTGGCTGGTTGCTTTTCCAAAACATGCTTTCTGTTTTTGTGTAATGAGTGCTTTTTGCCTCTTTTCAGTGACGGTTGGGCAGACAGAGATGAAGTCATTGAAGGTTATGAACCTGAAGCAAACGGAGGCATCACTATCAAACTGCAGTCTCCAGAGGTCTTGTCATTTGATGACTACTATCTGAAGCTGCGTCTGGACACCAACACGCGCAACCCTTGGTTTCCTGAGTTCTGGCAGCACAGATTTCAGTGCCGCATCCCGGGGCATCCGCTAGAGAATCCTAACTTCCAGAAGAACTGCACTGGTAACCTGTCAATTATTTTCCTGTTTGAATCTGTGCTCTGGCAAAAATTTGTCTTTAGGTTTTTTGGGTTGTGTTTTGTTTGTTTTTGTTGTTTTTTAAAATGTATAGATCACTGGTGAAACAAAACTAATGAAACCTGACTTCCCATGGATTTGTGTCTTATTCTTTATATCTCCACCTCCCCTGTCTCATAGCAGTAATCTCAGTTGATCTTCATGTGCTGCCTGAGATATATTCCCATAGTGTTTCTAGTTCTTCCCTTCTCCATCAGTAACATCTTTCACATTACCTTTTGTTTTCCCCCAGTTCTCTTATTAACAGCTGAGATATCACCAAATACTGTCGCTGATTCAAAACGGGCCTGATGTGTTGACTGGCAGACAGGCTGGCCCATCTGGGTGCTGAGAGGCTAATGGCAAGCCAGACAGGGTAAATAAATGTTAAGGTTATACTGATATTTTTTCTTCAAAGGACTCATTAACTTTGGACTCTACCAAAATGTTGATTTATGGTACGCATACTTAATTGCTTTTGAGACTATTTCAGCTCAGACAAAGGAGTTAATATAGGCCAACAAGGGCAGAAATTACTAAGGGGAAGCTGAATGACAGATGCACAGTGCAAATGCATAGCATTCTTTCTTAAGAAAAGAAGCTTAAAATTGCATTGTTTTCGTAATTCCATTCACATAAATAAATTTATAAAAAGATCTCATTTCTGAGGAAATATCTACAGCTGTTGTAAACACAGGTAGTTTGTTATCCAGCCTCTGAGTATGAAACTAAAACTTTAGTCTGAACCAGCATAGCCATTCTTCATCTGCTGCACCAAAGGCAAATACCAGGTGGTGAGTTCAAAACGGCCAAGATGGGGTACTTCTGCACCGAATGTGTAGCTGAGTTTTCAGACAGTGGTTGCTGTTGACTCTAGAATTGTACTTGAGCCAAAAAGCAATTAAACAAACTCATGGAAGAAAACCAATAAAGGCTGATTTATGGGGAAAAAAAACCAAAACAACCAAACGCAAAACACCCCAAACTGACTCAGGGACATACCAGGGTTGAAGCCACTGGACACTGGAGAAGGTGCTGCAGTGGTAACCGTTACATGCCTGCCCTGCTGTTCTGTGCTTTTCAAGGTGTTGGGTATCAGAGGCAGGAACCACTACGTTCTGGTAATATCAGTGAAACACAGAAACATTTGTCAACGTTGGTAGACTCTGGCAGGTAATAGTCACAATTCAGCACTCAAACGTCCTTCACTCCTTTAAAAAGCTGTAAAGTTTTGCATGAAACTTCAAAATGTGTAATACTTTTTAGGCTTTGCGGAAAAGCAATCAGCTCTTAAATTTCTTGAACCGCTGATAACTCTCAGGCTTATCACACACAACTAAGTTGAACTCAAATCACCAATGGGAAGCACCACAAGGTATCTATTCCCCATAATGGCATACCAACAGAATCAAGAGACCTACATGTATGTCCCCAGCAAGTCTAGGGGCAATAAAATATCATATTTATTTTTCTTTAACTACACAGAGCTGACTGGTGACTGCTTGGCACCACCAGAGCTTTCTGCGCACATGTTTATCTGACCTGTCTACAGGGCTAAAAATGTCACTTCAAACGCTAACAGCTTCGGTGCTTGCTGGTGGAGCCTTTCTCTTCAAGGAAGTCTAGTACAACAGTGCCAAGAAACCACCTTCTTTACCTCTCATAGGTTTGGAGGCAGAAATTTTCACAAACTCACTGCTAAAAACGGAGTCTGAATTGCCTCTTCTCTCCTTCACAAAGTATCTCTATGCCGAAATTTGAAGGAGACAATCCATGCTCCTCAATAAATAATAAGCACTAATATTTGAAATCCATTAAAATTGCCAATAGATGAAGTTCTGGCTTCTATGTAGTACTACAGTTTTAAGTAATGCTGCTACTACTGCATCACTCCAGGAAAATTATCAGTATTCAATAGTGGTATCAAGTGCCTTAACTCTGTTATATCTAAGACCTTTCACTCTTACTTCACAGTATTCCATCAATATTCCTGTAACAAGGTACCTAGGGTTCTGCATTATGGAAAAAGAGGAGTCCTCTGTGGTCCCAGGAGTCCATGCACATTATTAGCATTCATTGTCACTATCTCTGGGTCCTGATCTGTTCTGTATTCCAGAAGTGCACTGGTAGTCCTTACTGAGAACAAAGCTTTTGCTTATATTTTTGCATAGACAGAAATTGATTCAAAGGCAGTAGACAGATCAAGTTCATCTTCTATATCCGAAGAGTTAACATCTCATGAAATTTCCTAATGAAAAAGAAAACAAAGGACAAAAATACTTGTGGTATTTAGGGAAGCATAGTGTATTTGTATTTCCACAGCAGTGGGTTGCCTAGAAGCAAGTAGAAACAAAAAAAGAAAAGGCAGTGTTGTTCTCCGACTACCTTATTAAAAAAGATTCAGGATACTTGGACCTATCTGTTTTGAAAAGGAGATTAATTACAAAATTTGTACTTGAGAATCTTCAATTATTGCCTGCCCAGTATAATTTGCTCATGTACAACCTAATCACTTTACTGAGTGATTTATTCAGAATTGCCACTGGAATGTAAAGTTCAATTTTTAGCATTCATGGATAGGCAAGGACTTCTCCTCAAGCAATTACAGCTGTTGCATTAGCAGTTTCTCACACCCTGTTGTAGTTGAGTCAGCACTAGCTTGGGATTGCAGGCTCTCCATGAAAGACGGGAAAGCCAGTTCCTAGAAATCCCCTTTCTCTGATGACAGGAATTACTGCTTGAACTCCCTCATTCAGTCCCTGAGAAGACTGGTGTTGTCCTTCAGGAATTCTCATGTTACACTGAGCTCTGAACGTACATGTGTATTTTTGGGGAAAAAGGTCTATCTAATCTAAGCATTACTGGAAGGAAGCAAGTCCCAGTGCATTTTACTCTGTGAAGTCTATGGTATGACTAGTGGCCACATTTTCAGAATAGCCTATCTGGATGTACTAGGACTGTATGGTAGTAGCACATATTCTTGGGAAGAGAAGACAATCATCGAGAGTTTTGCAGTGACTGCTCTTTTGGATCATTCCTCCTTGCAAAAATTAACAACTTAATTTTCCCACTTGGGTGACAGCCAAATGAGTGGGAGCTATTTTTGACTCAATCTTTGCTAATGTCGTAGCCAAATGCCTCTCATAAGGGAATGCCTCTCTCCCTCTCCCTCTCTCTCTTTCGCTCTCCCGCTCGCCCCC